TTTTTGAGACAGGGTCTCACTATGTAGTTGAGACTGATCTGTAACTCACTTATGTAGCCCAGGCTGGTCTCAAATTCACAGCGATCCTCCTGCCTCAGTCTCCCAGTGCTGGGACTACAGGCATTCACCACCATACCAGGCCCTTGATGCATTCTTAAATTGTTTAAAAACAAAATTTGTGTTTATTGTTTTGCAAAGTCAGTCATTTACATCTTTACACTGTTTCACAGATCAGTGATTGCATTGTTGTTAGTGCTTCTTTGTAGTGGCCTTCTTGAATTTGAATACTTTTTATTTCATTTCTTCTACATTCATAATGCACAAAAATACTCAACATCAGCCAAGGTTGTTGACATATTATCAGTTTTACATAATAATATCTGTATAGCTCATTCCTAATACAGTTATTATGTATGATGTTCTATTCAAGCAAATAGTCACTGGTTCCAAAGCTTACTTTTGCAAAGCAGTTGTGGATTACTTCTAAAGTTATTATATCCAAGATCATAATGATATTTCTCTTACTTTAAGAAAATACTATTTTTTAATATCTACAAAGGGATATTTCTTTTCTTTGAATAGTCACTAGTTCCAGAGCCTACTTTTGCAAAGCAGTTGTTGATTACTGCTGAAGTTACTTTGTCCAAGATCATAATGAGATTTCTCTTACATTAAGATAATACTATTTCTTAATATCTACAAGGGGATGGATATTTCTTTTCATGGGAACATGATATACTAGCACTTTCAATAATGCAACCTTTGCCAAAGAGAGAGGGAAAGAGAAAGCTAGTAAGAAAGAAAAGGAGGCAAGGAAGAATAGAGGGAGGGAGAAAGGGAAGGAAGAGAAAGAGAAAAAGAGAGGGAGAGGAAGGGAGCAAAAGCATGTATATCTTACATATACCTTTTTAGTTTAAGCCTCCAGACAGTATGGTGAGCTAAATAAAACAACAAAACCCAAGGAGCCAGACATGGTGATGGATACCTGTAATTCTAGCTGTTCAAGAGGCCAAAGCAAGAGGATCACTTGAATCCACAGTTCAATAACACCCTGGATAACAAAACCCTTCTTTAAAAATCAAAGCCCACCCCCCCAAAAAAATGAATTTCAGAAGTAGAATAGTTCTGAGATAGTCTAAATTAGATAAGTCATTTAAGTTTTCTATTTTCCAATTTGATATACATTACTCTTTTTATACATTTGGCAATTTCACCTTTCTTGTCTTTTTATCTTGTTCCAATTTTAAATAAACATAATTGATAAGGGAGTCCCAAAATCTTTGGTTTATTTCACTTGTTGATTTTTCTTTTTTGTTCACTACAGGTGATTTTTACATCTTTATAAATTATGAATTCAATGTTTTTTTATGCCACGACATCGTTCTATGTATAAAGTATAACAGAATAGACATTGGTGTCTTTCAATCTGTAGTTATCTGACTACATGTAACAGAACCACCTTATGTAACACTTGTTTGATATACTGAGTATAACCATAGAAACACTGACTTGGAATCTGTTGGATTGTGTCTCAGTGTCCTGAATATAAATACATTTTTCAGATGTTTCTCAGACCCTATCTTTGAGGAGGTGACATTGAATTGAGATCTTAGTGGTGAGAAAAGAGTCAATTAGATAAACACAATTAGATAGAGGAGGTCTGAAAATGTGTTTTCCAAATAGAAATATAATGTAGAGCATATCTATAAAGCCAGAAAGAAAGACATGAAATTAATTTTATATTCTAGTAGGATATTGAAAATTATTACATTTAGTTAATAAAAACTACTAAGCTATTTTGCATTGTATCTTGCTACTAAGTCTTCTAAATATAGTGCATATATTATACTAACTATGCTTTTATTATTCAAATTAGCTACAGTTCAGGCACTCAGTATCTGCCCATAGATTTGCACAAATTTGTACTAAATGAACAGCCAGTACAAAGACTGTGAAGGAGATTCACATGATGATGTGTATTTGGAAACTGGAAGTTGAAAGTAATGTCTAGATCTTTAGACTAAAACTAGATATATAGGTTTAAAAATCATTGATATGAAAGAATTGTCACCTAGACAGTATAGTTTTTAGTGATTTTCATTGATAACTTATAGGATCACCTGTAGGACTTTTTTTTTTAATCCTCATTGCATCCTACAAATACATGGAAGAATCTCGGGATTGGGAAACACAGGTAGGTGTTCTTCCATGTTTGATTCAGATAGGACTCCTCCCTGCAATCTCCATTCCTAGCTGAGAACCCCTGGTTAAAAGGAAGATGAGGATAAAGGAGGCTAAGAACTAGATAGAGAGGTAAGAGCAGTGCTAAAGAAGTTAAGTGAGGAGGGCAGGTGCTTCAGCAATGAGGAAAGACGAGGGTAAGGCTTTTGAAGATTAAGGTTTCGGTGATTACTGAGGTTGTCAATTGGGCAAAGATGAGTTCTGAACATGAGGCAGTGGACACAGGGTTGCAGCCCAGCACTAGAAGGTCAGATTGGGATTGACTGTGGGAGGAGCATGCTGTTCCTTCCCAGGCAAGGTTCCTTAAATTCTTTAAATTTGTAATGGTCTATTTGTGTTCCTTTTTATAGCTATTAAAATTTAGCTGGTTGTTTGTATACATCTCCATGTTCACCCTAACTATACCATAGAATTACCTAGGAAGTTTTTAAAAGGTACCTATTCCTACCATTTTCCTCATCTCAGAATAAGTCAAAATTTGTAGGAGTAGAGCCTAGATATCACTAATTTTTAAACTTTTTAAAACATTTAATTAAGTTTTTGTTTTGTTTTGTTTTGTCTTTTGCTTTTTGTGACAGAGTCTTGGTTATGGTTCAAACTACAAAGCCTCAAACTCACTAGTTAGCCTAGGCTGGTTTAAACTCAAAGTGATCCTTCTGCCTCAGCCTATCAAGTTCGGGAATTACAGGGTTGTGCCATCATGCCTGGCTTAATTTTTTAAACTTCTAAAGTAATTTTTACACATTAGAATAGAAAACCATTGACCTCTGCATAGCATAATGAACACCTTTAAGGCCAAAAATGTTTTATTCACTTCATGTTCCCTGAGTTTGACTTATTGTTTAGCTTATTGTTAGCTTTTAATAAATGTTTTATGAATAAGAAATGAAAGAACAAATAAATGAGGAAATGTCACTGTAGATATAGGTAACTCCTAGTGGGTAGCCTAATACATTAACATTGCCTTACTTTATAATGAGCAGTCACCAGGCAACTTATTAAATACACTGCATCTATTTTGGAATCCTTCCATTTACTAAAGTATGAGGCTTTTATTCCAAATTGGTCTAAATCCCTAAAGTATTGACATAAAACATCAGGTATAAAAATCAACTAAAGAATTGGTGGGGCTATTCTTATCTTATTGTTTGACCATATATATAACCAAATATTATGAACTAGTCCATTGAGTACAATATGAAGGAGAAACTGCATTAGGATAAGAATTTCTGCCATAAACTTAAACACTTCTGATTTCTACAAAATTGACTTAAAAACCACCTTGTTTTATATTTAAGATTTACTGCTGTAGCTCTTCAAAGTACATTGCTTAAATGATTATTTATACTTCTTTGTCAAAACTTAATGTTAAATCAACCCTTCAACAGGTGCTTTTTATAACTTTTATTGAGAGACAAATGGAAAACAATACACATCAAATGCTCTGTAAAAAGAAAATAATCTGACAGTCACTAACATAACATCATCATAACTAAATGGAATTTTCCATATCTGACTTATTTATAGATTGCTTCTAGCCTACTGTGTAATTAGTAGATACCTGTTCCAACTCACTAAACCTATTGTAGGAGTCACCCCAAAATCAGAACAAAAATTTCCATAAGAGAGTATTGAGAGGTTGGGTCAATTGTGATTGCAAAGAAAGAAGCATTTACTCCAAAGTGATAAATCTAAAGCATGTATTTAGGGAAATGTGCAATAACTGCAGTTTATCCTCACCACAGAGAACAAGAGAAAAGGGATGTTCTGAGGAAGGAGAGATCAAGATATAGTGTTTATATGAGGACTTAAGGAATTTTGACTCAAGACTAGTGCCAGTTTCTTTCAGTGTTTTGGGCAACAGTCTAAACACTGTATCTGTGCTTGGGAATGTTCAAGTTCTCTGCTTGGGTTCAAGCCTATTGGGAAAACTAAGCTGTGTCATAGAGCAAGCAAGTCACTATGATTTTTGGGTCAGGACAGAGAAAAGAGAGGAATCTTGGAGACGCCATAGCACCACAACAAATGACAGTTCTTTCTTATTTTATTTATAGCTATTGCTTTACTAAGGACTTGAAAATGGAGTTTATCTGACATTTTAATATCATATTAATGTTCTCACAGATGAAAAGAAGTAAAAAATTGATAACTGAAAATCATAATGAAGAAGAAATAAGTATTCTTTGTTGGAAATGTAGAAAATATATAGCAAGTTCTGATTACTTCATGAATTATCGTGAGAATCAAGCAATTAAGGTAAGTATTGCTGACTTCAGTATTGTGTTTTAATATACAAACTCTGTGAGCATACCCAACTCCCTGCATGATTACTCCATCACACCTGACTAAGCATTCACCTGGTCTGACCTAGTGAGAATTGTACAAGGTAATCTTCAAAAGGTAGAAACCATCATCCTTCATCTTCCACAGTTAAAATTAATTTTAGCATTAACTGCTAATGTTAACATGCCCTTAACAGTTTAAATGCAGTATCGTAAACATAAGTTGAAGACCATAGTCTTTGTCTTTTTACCTCTGCCATGAGTGAATCTTAGTGATCACCACACCATTACATCAGAATCCTAGTAAGAAATGGAAATTTTTTATAGTTTTTTTAGTATTCAATAGTGATGTAGGAGATAAAATTTATATATAATATAAAAATAACCCATAAAAACATGAGTAATATTTAAAAGCATTTGATCAGTCATTCTAATAAAAATAAGTGTTTTGAAAACAATCCCTTAATTTTTCTAAGAGTGATTTTAAAGATGTGCTACCAAAGAGTTAGAAACTAAGAAGTAATTAGTGGATTTTGCAGGAAATTCCAAATATAACAGAGCATGACTGTAATAACCTATCATGTTTTCTTTCCCTGCTTTATCCATTTAATGGTTTATTGTGAGCGTCATTTCAGCAATGTTTGTTTACATACTACATATCCCGAGTATCACTTGGGCAGGTGTCATTTCAACCAGTTGATTCTTGTTTGAGGGAGACACATTTTTACATCTGTTTGTTTGTTTTATATTGACTATTTTTGTATCCTTTTTAATTCAGAGCATTGTATTAACCTTTGATATTTCTAGTGAAATCTAATAAGTTCTAGTTATTTTCTTTTACTAATTTATGTTATTTGTGAAAAATTATGTATATTTTTGTGCTACAGTCTATAAAAACTTGTATTGTAAGTACATTGGATTTTTTTTATACATCTCCAAAACTCAGTGATGTTCTTTTACAATATAAACTGAACATGTTTGGGACACTAAGACTAAATAGGAAGGTGCCAAAAGATCTGAAAAAGAAAAAAAATTTTTAAAAAGGAGAAATCTGCTACCGACCGTAGGGCAGCATACACGGGATTTCACGAGGAGATACAGGTTCTCTGAAAGGTGGGAGCAGGTTCGGCGATGACAGTCAGACAAAAGCACTCAACACCGAGGTGAAGTTTGCCAATGCTGCTGCAATTTTATTTCTAACTCCAGGTGTTTATATACTAGTTTCAAGGGCACATCACAAGAGTGATTCCAGTCACAGGCAGGCATAAGATAGACAATAGTACTGTAAAAATTAAGACCACAAGGTCAAGGTAAGACCACACCTATATACCATCACAAAAGCTAAGACCATTAAGTCAAGGTAAGACCACACCTATA